CTTTGCTCCATTTTCCAATAATTTTCCTTTAAATCTTGTGAGCAAGTAAATTTCCCTGTTCTTGTCCTAGCGTTCTCCCAGCATTCAAGTTCTATTGTTCTCCCACAGTCTGTTGCCCACTTTATCATCTTTTCAGATATTTTTTTCTGTTTCATTTCCTCTTTCCATTAAAAATTTATAAATTTTACTTACTCTTTTTGTCCGAGGTTGCATTGACAACTTATCCAAGTCCGTAAATTCTTCTTCATATTCTTGTAATTTTTTGTTTGGCAGTTTTAAATAAATTCTCTTGGCTCCCCAGAGTCCATTTTATCTTATGCCCCCTCCCCAAAATTGTTAAAAATGGGAGGTTCACTGGCCAGAATTTTATACTAAATCATGTGCAATGTGATCAGAAGTCAACAACTCGAGGATTCTCCTCCTTGGCTCCAAGCTTGTCCAGTTGGGTTAATTTTTTATAATTATCTTAGCTCCCTAGAATGCATTTGGAGCCAGAAGCCAGCAAGATGATTTACACTTTTCTCCCTTAAGATTGTCAAAAATGGGGGTCATCTGATTGGGAGTCTGCATTTGTAGTTGTGTGCCTTCAAGTCATTTCCGACTTAATGGTGACCCTAAGGCTAACTTATCATTGGATTTTCTGGGCAAGATTTGTTCAGAGGTTTGCCATTGCCTCCTGCTGAGGCTGAGAGAGTGTGAATTGTAACTGTTTCTTTTAATGGTTACAGAAATAGTTTTGCAATCTTTTTTATTATCCTTGGGCTCTGGATTACACTCAGCAGAAAAAAAAAACTTTTTGCTCCATGTGGATGTTTCAGAATCACCAATCGGAAGGGCCCCCAAAGGCCACCTAGTCTGACCCACTACCAGTGCAGAAATATAGCCTGAAATATAGCCATCCAGACTGGAGAAGCGAAGGTTAAGAGGTTCGGAGGTGACATGAGTGCCCTGCTTCAATATATGAAAGGATGTCTTTCAGGAAGATGGAGCAAGTTTGTTTTCTGCTGCTCCAGAGACTGGGACATGGAGCGACGGATTCAAGCTACAAGAAAAGAAACCCCACCTCAACATGGGGAAGAACTTCCTGACAGTAAAAGCTGTTCAACAGTGGAAGGCACTGTCTTGGACAATAGTGGAGTCTCATTCTTTGGAAATTTTTCAAGCAGAGGCTGGATGGCCATCTGTTGGGAGTTCTTCCTG